GGGGTCCCCAGGTCGGTGACGGTGATGGTGATGTTGTACTCGGCCTGGCTCTCTCTGTCCAGCGCTCCTTCAGTTACCAAGGTGTAGAAATTTTCTACAGTAAGTTTCAAAAGGAAGGGGAGATGGTCTTGGATGGAACACATCATTTTGCCATTTTCCCCGGAGTCTGGATCTGAAATTCCAAAAATAGCGACCACTGTATCAGGGGTATTTTCTGGGATATCACTGGTGAATACTGACATAGTCAGTTCGGGCGTGTTGTCGTTTACATCCATCACTTCTATGGCTATAGAGCATTTTCCTGATAGTCCCCCGCCATCTGAAGCCTCAATATCCATACGATAAGATTGAATTTCCTCAAAATCTAACATTTTTTTTAATCGAATTTCCCCTGTGACTGCGTTTATTTCAAAGGCCTGAATCACTTGATTTGAGGATTGGAAAAATGAGTAGGAGAGCTCTCCAAGGGTCCCAGCATCTAAATCTCTAGCAGTCACAGTGATGACAAGGGACCCTATAGGGCTGTTCTCTGGGATTTGCACCTCATAGAGGAGCTGAGCAAATTCAGGAGCATTATCATTTATGTCCAAGACTACGATGAGAACCTGAGAAGTCCCAGTCCTAGGCGGTGACCCACCATCCATGGCCATGAGCGTTAACCTGAGCTCTGACTCCTCCTCCCGGTCCAGCGCTTTGTCCAGCACCAGCTCAGGGTATCTCCTGCCATCGCTGTGATTTCGAGTGAAAAGGTGGAAATGGGAGTTGTTGCCAATAGTGTAGTTCTGAACTGTGTTACTGCCCACGTCTAAATCTTGAGCTATTTTCAAAGGAAATGCAGTCCCCGGACGGCTGCTTTCTGAGATTTTCAGGAGGATTTCATTTTCCAAGAATTCTGGGGCATGGTCATTTATGTCTCGTAGCTGTAGTTCACCTTTAATAAACTGCACTGGGCTTTTTAATAAGACCTGGAAATGCAGTATACATGGATCTGTGTCACCGCACAACTCTTCCCGGTCCAATTTTTCTTTTAGGAGCAAATTCCCACTCTTCTGCTCGAGCTGCAAATACTGTTGATTCCCTTTGGAAAGAATTCGAGCACCCCGCGCGGCCAGCTCCCCCAAGCCAAGCCCCAGATCTTTCGCGAGGTTGGCCACAAAGGAGCCGCTTTCCCTCTCTTCTAGAACCGAATACTTAATGGTCGTACTGCCCACTTCCCACCGTATTAACATTATTAGGATAATAATAGCGGTCACTTGCCTTCTCTGCTGCGCTTTGGGTAGCGTTGTCTCCATCGTTCTTTGGCGTCCAAAAGATGCAGTATTTAATCACAAAGTAATTGCTGTGCAGCCAACTCTACTATCTTGATTCAGTAATCTTGAGTTAGTTCCTAACATTGACTGACATGGGGATAGCGGCCTCTCTGAAACCTACTATCCCCCAAGAGTGTAAAACGTTTCCTTTTCAAGTAGCCGGAAACTGCTCAGCTGTTACAGAGGCTGCAGAGTTTTTCCACTTTCTTAGCCTGCAGCGCCACCAAGCGTCCTGCCTTACAACTTCAGTTTTTGTGTTTTTTTGGTGGGTTTTTTTGTTGTTTTTCATTTCAAAGCATCATGCAACAGTTAAAACAAAAAGAAAGCCTTTTGGGTTATAAACTCCCCTCCACCCCATTGTGCAGTATTCTTCAGGTAGCTAACAATATTTGTGAGATCAAAAGTAATACTTACATATCTATATCTATATTCATCTTCCTTAAAGGTACAAGTTCAGTATACAAAACTGCTCAAGACAAATTCATTTATTCATTTAACCAGTATTTCTCTATGCAGGCAGTTTTCTAGCTTCTGGAGATAAAATGGTAAATTAAACACAAAACTCTTGCTCTTGGGTGCTTACATTCAATTACAAAAAAATTGCTGTATTGTGTTAGAAGTTATGAATTTTAAAATCCACTTTCTACTCCCAAATTGCATGTGCCTGTAACTCCTGAAAAAAAATTTTTTTAAGATTTTGTTTATTTTTTAAAAAGATTTTATTTATTTATTTGAGAGAGAGAGAGCATGAGAGGGGGGAGGGTCAGAGGGAGAAGCAGACTCCCTGCTGAACAGGGAATCCAACGCGGGACTTGATCCTGGCACTCCAGGATCACGACCTGAGCTGAAGGCAGTGGCTTAACCGACTGAGCCACCCAGGCATCCCAAGGTTTTATTTATTTATTTGACAGAGAGAGACACAGCGAGAGAGGGAACACAAGCGGGGGCAGTGGGAGAGGGAGAAGCAGGGAGCCTGATGCAGGGCTCGATCCCAGGACTCTGGGATCATGACGCGAGCTGAAGGCAGACGCTCAACGACTGAGCCACCCAAGCGCCCCCTGAAAAAATTTTAAAATGTGATTTCTTGTCAGTCTCTGGGCAATTTTTCCTTGGTAAATTCACTCTGTGCAATGCCCAGTAAGACTAAGAGGAAATGGCCATTTGTTTTGTTAGAAATCAATGTAAGTTCAGAATTCAGACAATGTCTTTTCTACAAACATGTAGAAGGCAAAAAATTCAATGGAATCAAAGATATACTTTCTTGGGAAGGGTTTTGAGCTGTCAACAGTGGACAGTGGCCCCATCCCAGTGTACATCCCCTGGGACTATGGAAATGGGTATATTGAAAAACACCATGGCACCAACTAAAGTCAAGTGGCTGCAGTGACACTAGCAGGAAAAGTAGTTACCCCCAGAGAAGAATGCTTTTCCAAGGAGGAGGGATAAGTATCTAAGAATACAAAGCAGTAAGTGTTCCCTATAGTCATTGTACCAACTGGTAATTATCTATGACAGTTCACTTATTTGGACACAAACCTCAGCCAAATATAATTTAGTTAAGCCTAGTTCCATTTTAATTAAGGATAAGAATAAAATATTCACTCAGCTATCAGTTTAGTATAAATTACCTGACTTTGATGGAGAGTTGAAAAGAGAATTTTTTCTTAAGATACTACAAATAAAACCAACACAAGACAAATATGGCCTAAACTGTGAAAGTAAATGATTTTATGATTAATAAAGATTAATGATACTTACACAGCACTTTATTTATGACATTACCTAATAACCTGCCATTAATTACTTAGTTCTTGGCAGGTATCACACATGTAGAGGCTTGAGAAACTAGGAGGAAGAGTTTGAAAAATATACTTTGGGTTTTATTAAATAATACATTTTTAAGGAGCACCTGAGTGGCTCAGTTGGTTAAGTGTCTGCCTTCAGCTCAGGTCCTAATCCCAGGGTCCTGGGATTGAACCTATAGCCTGCTTCTCCCTCTCTCTCTGGTTTCTTCTCCCTCTCCCTCTGCCTGCCGCTCTCCCTGCTTGTGCTCTCTCCGTGTCAAATAAATAAGTAAAAACTTTAAAAGTATACATTTGAACTTTCAAATTGATAGACAAAGACAAGGAGATAAAATGTACTCTCAAAATTTTATATTCTGTAATAGAGTTTAGGGTGTGTGGAGGGTGGTTTCCGTTTAGAAAGAAAGTAAAAGAATGATATTTAATTTCACTTATTGACAAGGGTACTGCATTGTGGAGAGAATATTAACATTTTTCTATATTCCTTGAAAATTAACCTTTGAAATTCACTGTTGGAATGTTAATAATATTCAACAAATATTTATTATGCATTTATAATTGACTTGATATTATTAAAAAATACTATCATAAGCTTACATGAAGCTTACAAACTGGAGTTTAATTTATTGACACTTTGTGCAAAGTTTATATGCATAGAAAAATGTTTTGACTATTATGGTATATTGAAATACACATAAATATGAATGGCTGTCTTAGCATTTAGCCATCTTTAGTGTTTATCTTTAATTATTCACATTGTAGCCATTACCCCAAAATGAGACTTACACTGGCAGATTAAATAATATCAAACACTCACATTTTATGTTTTTAAAGTAGGCTCTATGCCCAGTATGGGGCTGGAACTCACCACCGAGATCAAGAGTCACATTCTCTACCAACTGAGCCAGCCAGGCTCCCCCAAACACTCACACTTTAAAAATTTCCCTACATGGTAATGGTGATGACAGTTGTCACCAATAGTTAGATATACAATCTTACTTAAGGGCTTTGTATTACAATTTTTCTAAGACGAATAGATGATTGAATTTCAAGATTTTTAAATTATGCAAGTAAAATTTTACTTTTTATTCAGATTGTCAAATATAGTTGAGAGTAATACAAATCTACTAAGCATGATATAGGGGAAACACTGTATATACCCATATCTGATTTTTTTCAACCTAAGGAAGTGTAGTAAAATAATTAAAAAACAAACTATCAATAACATTTAACTAAGTTAAAAGATTTTCAAACTAAGTAGGACTTAATAGGATAATCCAATGCTTAACTGAAAAGGAAACTATCACGAACCGTGGGGTTTTCCTCCATTTCCTTTCCAGTGCCCTGAGGAGGGAAGTTGGGAATAATGGGCTTGAGGAACTTGAACTCGCTGGTCCCAGATCCTCGCCTCAGACACACCTCGTACTGGTAGCTGTGGGACAGGGTCCCCGCGCCGCTGACGTCCACCAGGTGGCCCGGAAACGGGCCCTCGGCCACCGAGC